AAATAAATGTTTCAAGTAAGAAAGTATTTGATCAAAACTATCTTCAGGTAGTTCAGACTTCTTTTTCTCCTTTGGTGAATAGAAATGGTTTGTCTTAAAGAGATGTTATTCATCCAAGAGAAATACTAGCCAGTACCAGTCTTTCCTCCCCTAAAGGCTGAAGACAAAAAGCACCCATTGGTCACTGCAGGAATAAACCAGAAACAATAATATTTGCTAGCAGTTTTGCTTGTTTACAGAGTGTTTTCATCAAGCATCACTGCAGAGCTATCGGCATGAAAAGAATGAAATGAACTGATAAAAGTTTGATGTGCAATAAGCTATTTTTAGTTCAAAGGGAAATAAATGTAGGGAAGACAATTCCTGCCTGTCTACACCATCCGCCTCCCCCATTTCATATGGGGTAACTATTTAAATACCTTAACTAAAAAGCAGCGTGATGGATGTTCCTCATAGGCTGCAGAGTGCTTGTTGCTGCTGGTGTAACTCAAGCAATAGTTATGGGAAATCAATTTTCCAAGCCAAACGTATAGAATTAAAAAAGGGCTTTCCAGTAGAAACTGGTAGCAGCCTTAGGATCTGGCCCGGAAAACGCTATGCACACACGTTACTTAGTTTTTGTGAGTCATCTAATGGAAGTTAGACCTATGAGGTTAAGTGCTTCCAGGATTTGGCTTTTGGCAAGACTGAAATGGGTATGTTTGAGCTTGTAATTTTGGAGATGTTTTACGGTGGCTTTCTGCTGGCAGCTCTTTTTCATTTAGTTTGAGAAATTCCCAGTGAAAGCAACTCTGAGGCGTGCCGGCACCCAGGTGTCGCTTGCTGGGATTATTCCCTTCTCCGAGCGTAAGACTTTGCGTTTCTGACGCATCGCACAGAACGGCTCAGCCTGTCTCGCTTCTCAGAGGAGCAGCTCTCCAAGCTGCTATGGTCACTGAGACACGATGAAATGAAGCAGTTAAAAGCAAACTGAGCCCATTCGTTCATCCCCGGGGTTTGAGGTCTTCCAATTATTTGACGACGTCAAATAAACGCCTCAGTATATTCACAGTGAAAGGGGATTTGGGGCAGTTTCGTAGAGCTGGTGGTGTGTGCAGTTTTTAAACATCAGGTTAAACTTTGGAATGGAATTATATTAGATTCAGATATGTATCCTTGTACTCCGTTAATTGGCTAATAGACCAAAAGTCCTGCAGGGACTGTTGCACATCCACTGAGCGCCAGAGTCTGCATTCAGTTGAAATATGCGTGGAGACCCTCCGATGAAGATCAAAAGTTCAGTTTAATCTTTCCGGGTAGATAATCATTTAAATTCAGCTCTGCTTTGTGAAGTAACTGCAGCAAATCCTTCTGTGTGCGTTGTATGTGTCACCAAGTGAGACATAGGAGCCTCAGATGCGATAACACTGTTTGCTTGTGTCAAATGCAGGATGTCAAAATCCCTTTCAAAACTTCAGCGAGTTCCTTCGTAAAACTGTATCAGCTTAAAATTATATCAGCCTATATTACTCCTCTTGGGAGGCTGCGCCAGAACTCGATCCTCTCTGATGGCTGAGAATTTTTTTGCTGCTTCTTACGCTAAATTTATGTACAGCCAATTATAATCCATTTGTTCTTGAGCCAACATTATCCATTAGCTTAAGTAGCACTTTTCCTTCACTGACGCCCACCTCCAGGTCTCCCCTCTCTTGGCCAGCCCCAAGATATATTTATAGAGGATGGTTTTGCTGGGATAAACGTGTCAAATTCTGTTAGTCTCCCCTTGTGATGGGGGCTCTCAGTTTTCCTGGTGCCCTTCTCTGTTCCAGCTGAAGCGATCCTGGCTGGGGTGCAGGAGATCGTCACCAGAGGGTCTCAGGAGAGGTTTTGCTGGTGTCTCTGGGCTCAGACCTGCTCTCCCATAGCTCCTGCAATCCCACGGCCTTACACCTCAGCCTCTCCCAGGACTGTAGTCCCTACCGTTAATTAACGCGCTCAGCACTTTTGGGGAATCACTGTGTGGGTTTCGGTTTCACACAAGGATGTGCTGACTTGGCTTTTTAGCTATAAAGTAAGTTGACGGTGCACATTTCAAAGCACGCGCGTGCTACTTCAGGAGAAAAATACACGCTGTGACAGAAATCCATATAGCCATTGAAATTACTTATTCATTGCTTTTGACTTCAATTTCAGAACTAGCTAATGAAATTTCCCCAGCTTTTAAGGTTAGATTGTGGAATGGGATTTTTTTTAAATCTATTATTTAATACTGCTCTTATACATCCAGGCCTCATCTAATACCTGAATTGGTATCTCCAGCGCTGGAGACGAGGAAGCGCGTCCCTCACTGCCTAGTTAAAGGGGAGACAGTCCCCGTTGGTGCTGAGATAAGGAGATATTTAGCATCTTAGGGTCTGCCCTGGGAAAGTGGTGAACACCTGCGATTCCCATTGAGATCAGGGAGAAGTGCAGGTGCTCAGCACTTCTCTCGCAGGTCACCTTTTAAACAAATACTTCTCGCAAAACCTTTTGACAGTCACCTTTAAAAGCAGAATCCCGGCTACCAGACACTTTCCGTTTCTCTCATTTTCCCAGAGGTTTCTCATTACAGGGATTCATGGAAATTGAACGAGGTGAAGGTTGCAATCAGTCATGTCTACAAGCAACCAAATGCAAGCTGGAACTATTATGCATGCACCCATGGGGGTGTTTTTAAGTAAATGGAATAAAGCCTCCAAAAGAAAGTGGTGTGAGCCTTGCGTATGTAACTTTATAATAGTCTCTATAAAGTTACACAATAAATTAAAAACCTGTTCAAATGTAACTTAGGCCTCCTTATTTTGTATAAGCTCCACCCCAATATTCTGGCATTTTAAATAACCTTGAGGTTAAAACACTGCTTGGAAAGAGGAAGGCAAACCAACATCGCATCTCCCTCTTTAACTAGCGTCTTGCCTTACAACTTCTTGCTGAAGTACCTTGTAGTAGCACATAGTAGTTACGAAGCACTGCCATAAGATTTTAAAATTACTGAAGCAACTTCGAAGCTTACTTCCTATAAAAAATCATTTATAAATCTATTTTTCTGTTCTCCTAAATTCCTGATTCATACCTGAAAAGGGATCTTAGGCTGCCAAATTACCCTGTTGCAATTAAACCTTGCAAAAACCCCGTGAGGTAGACAATTCTTTATTTCCATCTGAGAGATGGCAAGGCTGAAGCAAACTTGCCTGCTGATTTGCATCCTTCTGCCAGCACCAGATGAGAACAAGTGACTGCTTGTTCATGGTTGCACTCAGTTTCTTGACTGTTTCACCCCAGATTAAGATGGATAGATAAATACTGTATTTGTTTCAGTGGAGCAGGAAAAGTGGAAAAAAAGATGAAGCACGTTTTGAAAATAACAGAGGGCTGGGAGAGCTAGATGAGAAATGTTCTTCACCTTGCACAAGGCTCTTAGCCTTGCCTTATCTTTCCAGAGCGGCTGAGTCCTGCTGGTCTTCTAGTCATTGCTGTAATACTGTTGGGAAGAAGGAAAAAAACCTGAAGTGGCTGGGAATGAAGGGATGAAGAGCTGCCTCCCTAACCATATTTTGTGGAGCCAGAAAAAAAGACTTCTCCTATTGCCACATATAATATATTAGGAAAAAAGAGAGCGTTGAAACAACCCATTCATCGCTGGCCAAGGGAGATGTGGCGCTGAAACCACGCGCAGAGTGACTGCCAGCTCCCTTGTGAAGTGAGTCTCCTGTAGTCGAAAAACTGCTATCGCAGATTAAGGATGCACCAGTCTTATCAATATCTTCTTGGCACAGAGCTGCCATGGCTTTATTTTTTGTTGCCCTGATGACAAGATAACAAGCGTAGCGTGCAGTAGGAGCGTGACTTTTCTTGCTTTCAGCATTGCCGCAGCACTCGGAGCCAGGGACTTGGGAGGGAAGCGCCGGCCTTGGAAGCAGTAGCCCCTCCTGCTCCTGGCTCCCAGCGCTCGGGCAGCCCAAGGGCTGGCAAAGCACTCAGCCCCTATTTCCCATGCCCAACTTTGCCTCTCCTCTGCCTCGATCGTGAACCCTTTGGGCTAGGCACAGTCCTGTGCTGTATATGGTGTGTTTGTCCTCAGTCGCTGGAGTAATAGGGATGGCTCCCAGTCTGGCTAGGGCTTCCAGATGCCACAATAACAGAAATATTTGCTGTCCTAGGCAATATTGTGCACATGGCTGTACTCACAGAGAGTTTAAAAAAATAAAACGATGCTGCCGCAGTCACAAAGAGGGTTTTTAACCGACTCCTACAGCTTACATTGGCAAAAGTTGCCAAGCTTGATAGTTTTCCTGTTCAAACATTTACTTGAGTGATGGGGGTTTTTTTTTTTTTTTTTTTTTTTTTTAATTAAAAGGTCTCAGTGTACTGTTGTAGGCTGAACTTGTTTCACCCCTGCTATCTAAATTCCTGCTTATAGAAACATGGGCATGCTGGCCTGATAGCTGTTCAATCAACCTTCACTCCAGCAGTTGACTTTCGGGCACTCTGTTTTGCGAGATTAATATCCTCATAATAAAAGTAACCATATATGCATTCAAAACGCTTGCATGAGGATAGCAAGTTTAAAGGGGTTTTTGCCAGTATTGTAAGTGACATGTGAAAAAGAAAACCTTAAAATAGGGTATAAAACATTAACAAAGATATTTTCTGCATTCTGGAGTTGGCAGGAGAGCGCGTGCTTCTGTCCCTATGAAGGGAGCGTCTGAAATGCTGCAGCAGCTGGAGGGCTCGCGCCACGCCAGCCTTTTCTTCCCCTTCTCCAGTCAGCTTTTACTGGCGCTGGATAAACCCTGCCGGAGCTACGTACGGCTGTGGGCACGTGTAGCAGCGGCAGGAAGGAGCGTTGCCGGCAGGACTCCCTTTGGGCAGCTGGAGCCGTGGCCGGCGCACGGTCCGCAGCAAGTCCGTGTGGTGCAGCTCGGTCCTGTGGGGAGGCGGTCCCCTTGCTGACACTTGCTCTGTCTCCGTTTCGCCTGCAGTGGCTGAGGAACCCAGGCCCCCAGCACGAGAAACGGACTCTCTTTGGAGACATGGTGTGCTTCTTGTTCATCACGCCGCTGGCGACCATCTCCGGCTGGCTGTGTCTGCGGGGAGCAGTGGACCACCTGCACTTTAGTAGTAGGCTAGAAGCCGTTGGCCTCATTGCACTCACTGTCGCACTCTTCACTATTTACCTCTTTTGGACCCTAGTAAGTATTGGCTTTCTATTTAACTCTCAGGAATAAGGGAGGGAATAAATCAGAAAATGAATTACATCTCTGCCGCAGAGTGCTGTAGAGGGGGTGGACCACCATATAGCGCTTGTCACTTATATTTACGGCCCAGCCTAATTTTTAAGTTACAGCTGCAAGAAACCTCTTGGTTCCACACCAGTTAAGCTCTCAGGAAATCCAGAAAGACAGCTTGCCTTTGGGGTCCATGATTCCCAAATCCCAAACACCCACAGGGATTGCAGAAGGGAGCCAGGAAGTAACCTGGAGAAGATGAGTTCAAGACATGCTTCAGGAGTTGTCACCAAAGATACTGTGCAAAACGTGAGGGTACAGTGCGGGAAAGAGCCTCATATGAATAAGCTGGCTCTCCCAGAGGATTTGTGTTTTATTCTAATCCAACATCTGGCTAATTTAAGTCTAACAGTTTCAAAAATGCTGAATTTAGGTGTAGATCTTTTCCTCAGGGGATGTTTTCCATAATCCTGGTGCTTATGATTCTGTGGGAAAGCCACGGCAGAAGACGCTTTTTATCCAGGTCTGCAGAAACATAACTCCCCTTTCTGTCAGCAGCCGTCCAGATTAAATAACTGCTTTATTCCCACCATGCACCCAGGCGTGCTGGCATGCGTGTGCTGAGCGCTGATCCAGCTTGAAAGTAAAAAGGGTTTATCAAGCCACAGTCTAGCTGTTCGTCGAAAACCCCAAGTTCCCTCAAGTTGAACGCTCAACACCACTAGCACTGGTGAGTGAAGAAAGAAAGGGCGCATGCAGACTAGGAGCGCTCGCAGTAACACAGCGCTGGCATAGCTGCCCCAGAGCAAGAAACCCCTGCACTCAGCCCACAGTAAGCTGGGGGGAGGGAGGGAATGCACCAAGAAAGCTATGGAAGGTACCATCTTATTCACTTCTTTTGCAACAGTGAAACCCTGTCTCACCTATGAGGAGTTCAGGCTCAGAAATCTTGCCTCAGCCTCCTGTAGGGCTTTTTTTTTTTTTTTTTGGCTTCTGCATTCTTTTTTGTATAAAGCAGCACCACTTCCCTTTTCACACGATGGCCATTTACTTCAGCAGTGAGATGGCACTTGGATTTCCTGAGGCACTGTGCATGTAGACATATCCTTCAGGGTCTCAAGCAAAGGTTGTTCAAATCTTCTTAGTAGAGGACTGTCTTAAAGCCAGATGGCACCCAATTTATTATATTTAATTCACAGACATCACTACAATAGGAAGTTGGAAATGGTAGCTTGGCTGAGTAGTTGGGTTTAATTATTTATGGCACGCAGACATATCTGACCTTGCTCATTACAACTTTTCCAGCAACACGGCAGTCAATAGCAACAGCTATTGCACTCGCACTGGTAATGGTGAAAATCACTTCTATTCACTTTTACTTCCCCCCCCCCCCCTTTAGAAGTATAGAAACGTATACGCCCTTCAGAAGTTACTTGGCACTTGGACAACATGCTGATAGTGAGCTTGGTGTAAAAGCGCACCTCGGCTGATTTAATTGAAATACAGTATCTCTCACGCCCATTGAGTTGCGGGTGATGTAATTCCACTCTAATCCATTATTCAGGCTGCCAGGAGGTAGACGGGCTAATGAAGCACTGTGTTGCTCAGGGAAGGGCAAGGCTGGAAGCCTGGGGGGCAAGTAACCCCCCCCCCGCCCCTTCAGCAGGGAGTTAATTCAGCTGTAGAACAGAGAAGGGGGCAGAGAGCAGAAGCGCTCACCCCACTGGGGCTTCAGCAGCGCCTTCCCTGAATTCAGCTTTCAGGGCTGAAATATTCCCTTATTTCAAGGAAACAGGGAAAACCTGCACAGCTTGGTAGAGGCATATATTGAGTGCTGGGGGAGCCATTACACCTAAGGTGATATAATGCTCTTTTAGGTCCTGGGAAAATTAAGAAAACTAAGATTTCATTTTACTTCCAATAAATCAGCGAATATTCTCTGAAGGTAAAAGCTGGCATATGGGTTGTTTACACACCACAGAACCCCAGTGAGCAGAAAATGGGAGAGATGCTATTTTTAGCAAAAAAAGCTATTTTATCTCTTCCCATAAAACAGCCAAGTTCTCTCTAACATACTGTTGCTTTTTCCTCTGTATTTATTCATTATAACTGATCTATACACAAAAAGTGTTGCTATTCCCAAGAAGAAAGATTCAGACCCAAAATGCAGACTCCTATTTAAACTAAAACTTCAGTTTTAACTATTTGAAACTCGCAGCCTGTGTAATCCTGACTTCTGCAGGACTGCGCAGGGGGACTGGAGCACAACGGGCTTCCCACAGAAAATAAGTGCTAGTTAAAAACAAAGCGTTGCCCCAGTGAATTCACAGAACATGCAAATAGCTTAGGAGGACAGCTGCTACCCACCCTTGCTACGCTACTGAAAAGGTGAACGAGGAAGCCGAGCGCGCCAAGGAGCGAGGTGAAAAACAGGCTCTTGCTCAGCAGCGAGGGTTTCAAGTCCGAGCGAGTGCCAGCTTACGGTGAGTAACCGGGCTCTGGGCTCTCGCTGCAGTTCAGGAGCTGACATCACTCGGAAACTGCCTCCAGGCAAGAGCCCATTGTAAACAAGCTGTCAAACTTAACTAGGGTACCCTGCAAAAACATCTTAAGCAAACAAACAGTTCAAGCCTGGCTCAACAACGTTGCCATTTCTGAAAGCATCTCATCTGATGCTCCTTGAAAACTAAACCCGCGTCCAGGCTCCTCCGCAGCAGGCCCCGCATTTTGCACCGCATTGGTCCCCACAGAAGGGTTCTTCCCCACCCTGCTCCCTCCGCCACCTGATTTCTGCGGATACTGCAGCGCCTTTTTCAAAGGGATTTCCCACCTTCTTACATTTAAGATGTTCCACGGAAAGGGAGGCGCAGACTGCTGCTGCTTCAGGGGGCGCAGAGCAGGTTGAAAGGTGGGGGAACCGCTTCATCTCTCCGAAGGGCTGTCTTTGGGCAACAGCTCTGCAAACAAAAGTTCTAGGTTTCCCTCTTTGACAGCACAGAGCTGTAAAAAAAAAAAAAAAAGATTAAAAAAAAATATATATGACAACCTAAACTGAGATAGTCCTGCTAACACAGTGAACATTAGCAGATGGCTCACACTCACCTTGTTGAGTCTGTGCAGTCTTGAGATGGATGCGCTGAGCAGTAAAGCATTGAGCCCGTCACTATTTTTTTTTTTTTTTAAATACACAGCAGCACCTTTAAGCTGCCCGCAAACTCACCCAGTTACATTATTTGTCAGTTTAACAACTCGCAGCACGACAGCACTTCAAGTTCACCTGGCTGTAAATCGCTGCCAATACTGCGAGTCCTGGGAAAGACAGGCAGGACAGCTGATTTTTCATGTTATAAAAAGGGAAGGAGAGGTGGGCAACACCACAAAGCGGTGCACAAGCCACTTTTCTTCTCCGCTGCTGAAACTGGGGGAACCATCCAGCCGCGTGGTGCGTCTCATCTCGGCCAGCCACCTTTTTGCTCGTGTTTTCGTCCCGCGCGAAGGTGCTTCCCCCAAGACCCCGGCCGCCCCCGTGGAGGAAGGCGGCGACGCTGAGAGCCGCGCGTCTCCTCTCCCCGCAGGTGTCGTTTCGGTATCACTGCAGGCTCTACAACGAATGGCGCCGCACCAACCAGCGGGTGATCCTGCTGATCCCCAAGCCGGCCGCCGTCGCCTCCGCTCAGCAGTCGCTGCTGGGCCTGCAGCCCGTCAAGAGGAACTCCAAGGAGACAATCGTCTGATCGGGGCCGTCCTGCAGCGGGGCCGCGCACTAAATAGGTTTCCTCGAGCCCATGGGGGTCTGACAGCACCCAGGAGCGTGCTGTTCCGATTTACAGACTCTTTGCAGAGGTGTGTGTGTGGGGGGAAATAATTAAAAAAAAAAAAAAAATCACTGTTCTAATTCAAATCATGGATGCTGCAATCATATGATATTTGCTAAGCTGCCAAACATGTTTATTTAGCAGATACTGTATGGAATTCTACAAACTCATGTCAATACTTGCATCACCGAGCGATGCAGACTTTTTTATTATTGTTTAAAAATATTAAAACTATGGTAATTAACAATGCAAAACAGATGTAAAAAGTGCTTTTTGTTTATCATTTACTGCTACTACAGTATTATTTTCTTTGGAAAGCAGCCAGCGCTGTATTTTTCTTGTTTTTTCCTGAATCACAGGGATGAATGACATTGCTCTTTTTTTTTAAATATATATATACAATTTTAAGAACATTTTATACTATTATCCTGGATTATTAAAATACTTTTTTTTTTTTTAATGAAATGAGTTCTACAAATTGGCATATTATTTAAACACTATAAAATGGTTAGAAAATGGGTCTCCTGTTTCTTGTTTGGTAGAGAAGTTCTGATAGAAAAATTCTCCCGTAATATATTTAGAATGTGTGAGAGCAACAAGTGACAGATTACAATAATCTTCCTGCTAAAAAGTATTTCTTAAGTAACTTGGGGGGTGGAGGGGAGGGAGGGGGAAAAAAAAAAAATCAGTCAGAAGTAACAAATTAGGCATCACATGCTGCACTGAAGCTCCGCTGGTGTGAACGTGTAGTTAGCCAATTTACTGTTTTTACACCAAGCAGAATTCAACCTTAATTGTATAAATTAAATTTTGTAAGGAAAACTCTGCATACATAATGGATGAGATTAGACACGTCTTAGGAAGCAGGAACTTGTCTTGCATAACAATTAGCATTACTTTAAAGCTGCAGAAATTTTCAGCTTGACAGGTAGATTTAGCAGAGCGTACGTAAACCCTGACCTTTCATTGTAGCACTGAGACTAAGACTCTTTTTGAAAATGTACAACACAGCCTACTATTGTGACCAATTTGGAGTCTAAAGACTAAATTTTATTCCTGGGTGGTATTATCTATTCCACCTTTGTTTTTGTGGCCAATTCATTCACTGGTTTTTAAGCTCTCAGAAGAGACATATGCTTTCGTGGAGAGACTCGTTTTACAGAATCTTACAAAATCCTATTAACAAATGCTGCTAAAAATCAGCAAGAGACATGTAGCCTCTTCAGTTTATTTTAATTAAAGCAACCAGGAGTAGATGGTAATGCCACCATGTCCTGTGTTGCCCAAACGGTGCAGGCTCTGAAAATAAAAGGAGCCCAGAGCAACAAGGGTCATGATTTACGATTTGGATAGATCAAGGTAATATGGGTGTTTGCCATCGAGCAAGAGCTTAACGTTGAGCTCCGAGGAAGAAAAAAGCTTAGTACCCATAAACAAACCCATTGGACTCCCTAATGCTGCCTTTGGCTCAGTCTAGCTATAGCCACCTATGTAACGTAACAATATTCTCTGTAGCCGTCAGTTCCGTGGGGCTGCGGGAATGAACCGCTGATATGAAGCGACACCAGCTTTGTTGAGACATGAAACTGCATCTTCACAGCAAGCCACAATCAATTCACATAGGAAAGTCACGAACCTGCAAGCCTGCGCTCATTAGTCTGTAAGGTCAGGTCATGTGTGTGACAGTGGGCACCTGCTTCTCTTCTAGAATAAAACAGTAGGAAAATTATACAGAATTCTGCAGACACAGATATCTGAAGACATCACAAACTCTGTGATGGCCTGAAACCTGTAGTGCTTTTTTATCCTCGTTCCAAAGAAAAGCAACTCTCTGGATAGAGGACCAAAAAAAGGCACATCAGCAGAGATTTCCAGGTTAAAAGAAAATCCGCTAGCCAGGGGCACAGAGATAAAGTATGTCTAGCTGGGTCAGAACACTGTCAGAGGAGGATCCAACCCTTCAAATTTTACACATTTGCTTTAGGGAATCTTTCTTTCTGTTGCTATTTCTGCTTCCTTGGGATATATCCCAGAAAGCTGGGCCACGGAATAAATTTTATAGTTAAGTCAGAGGCGTTCTTGTTTTTCTTTTATGAAAAATTGAGATGATAATGGAATTCAAGAAATAACAAGGAACCAATTTTCCAGTCAAGCTACGAGTTATCTGCTCACAGATTAGCAGCCACTCAGCCCAACTGGTCTGTTGGTTCAAATTTCTTTTTTGCTTTGAAGACTACTTATCATTTAAGTGCAGAAGAAAGCATACTGAAGCAGCCAGACAGAAAATACGGCCCAGTGAAGCAAGTATGTTACTACTCTGGTTTCTCCGCTTGGCATGCAAGTGCAGCAGAACTGACCGGTGAAGCCACTAGCAAGTTTCCCATGCTTTTTCTGGACATCCCCCTGCCCCCAAATCACACACTTACCTTTCTGCAGTATACCCACGAGAAAAGCAAGCGTGTGAAGTATGCTCTTTTTAATAAAAGGCAAGAACAGGAAGGTGGGTGATGCTGATGTCTTATTCCTACTTCTATGCTGAACTAAAGACCTAGCAGAAAGGCGGCTCCTCCTGGCTAGCGTTGCTTTTCCTTCCATTAGTTGAGGCTTTTCTTGCTATACTGCGTCCAAATGTGGATTAACAAATTTCACAGCTGAAACGCTACAGCAGAATTCCTCCAACAGCAATGGCATGCAATATTTTTTGCTTCCTAATAGAGGTAAGAAACAAAATTAACTGCAGCACTAGCTAGAGCTAGCAAAGCTCCTGGCAGTACAATGACATCTTTGTTATGCTGTCCTTAAAGGCTTTCCAGTTAAGCAAAAGTAGAAGTCAACTCTCCCATCCTTTCATTAAAGTT